TCCAGTCAGAGACGAGGGTGGTGGTGAAGGACCTTCAGACCAAGGTAGACGAGGGTGGTGGTGAAGGACCTTCAGATCAAGGTAGAAACGAGGGTGGTGGTGAAGGATCTTCAGACCAAGGTAGAGATGAGAGTGATGGTGAAGGATCTTCCAATCAGAGATGAGGGTGGTTGTGAAGGACCTTCAGATCAAGGTAGAGACGAGGGTGGTCGTGAAGGACCTTCAGATCAAGGTAGAGACGAGCGTGGGGTAAAGGACCTTCAAACCAAGGTAGAGTCGAGCGTGGGGTGAAGGACCTTCAGATCAAGGGAGAGACGAAGATGGTGGTAAAGGACCTCCAGATCAAGGTAGAGACGGGTGGTGGTGATCTTCAGATCAAGGTAGAGTCGAGCGTGGGGTGAAGGACCTTCAGACCAAGGTAGAAACAAGGGTGGTGGTGAAGGACCTTCAGACCAAGGTAGAGACGAGGGTGGTGGTGATCTTTAGATCAAGGTAGAGACAGGGGTGGTGGTGAAGGACCTTCTGATCAAGGTAGAGACGAGGGTGATGGTGAAGGACCTTCAGATCAAGGTAGAGACGAGGGTGGTGGTGAAGGACCTTCAGATCAAGGTAGAGACGAGGGTGGTGGTGAAGGACCTTCAGATCAAGGTAGAGACGAGGGTGGTGGTGAAGGACCTTCAGATCAAGGTAGAGATGAGGGTGGTGGTGAACGACCTTCAGATCAAGATAGAGACGAGGGTGGTGGTGAAGGTCCTTCAGATCAAGGTAGAGATGAGGGGGGTGGTGAAAGACCTTCAGATCAAGGTAGAGACGAGAGTGGGGTACCAGTTTGTGGACTAGGGGTTGTGGACCCCAGACTTAAACGAAGAAACCAAGTCCGTGGGGAGAGTTCGAGAGTTCTTCCAGATCCAACTCCTTCTTTGTTCGTTGAATGGAATTGTGGGTGATGGTTTGGTCATGTGGTTGACCTCCAAGCCAGTGTTGGTCAACCTTGGCAACTTCAAAATGGGTGGACTACAACTCCCAGATTTCCACAGCCAGGTCCACCTTGGTAGCTTCAAGATGGCTGGACTTCAACTCCCAGAATTCCACAGCCAAGACCATGTTAGCAGCTTCAAAATGGCTGGACTTCAACTCCCAGAATTCCACAGCCATTCAAAGCTTGGCAACGTCATGAGGGCTGGACTTCAACTCCCAGAATTCCACAGCCAGGTCTATCTTGGCAACTTCAAAATGGCTGGACTTCAACTCCCAGAATTCCACAGCCATTCAAAGCTTGGCAAC